CGTTCCGCTCTTCCCAGTCTGTTTCGGTTATGACTGTTACCCTTCTTTATTCTAAATTCAGACAAGGAACTTGAGTTCTAACCTAATGGCTGTTCAGTAGAGTTTCAGCAAGTGACAAAAATGTTCAGCATTTGCACCATCCCACGTGGTAGCCACCAGCCTAGCGCAGCTGCTGAGCCCTGGAAATGTGGCTAGTGCAACTGAGGAACTGGACTTTTGATTTTGTTTCATTTTAATCAGTTTACATGATCATATTGGACAGCGTAGTACTAGTGTCTATGCAGGACATCCCTGCTAGTCCCCACAGGACACGGTGATCTATGTTCTTCATGCAGGAGCATCAGTGGCTTCCCCGAGTCTAATAATCTCTGGGATAGTCAGAATGTTAGGAACCCACTCTCTTCCTAGTAAATCCATAGCACGTGATGCCTCTGGGCATACACCAGCTTGCCACTGCCCCATTCGACCTACACTAATCTCTTACAAATGATCAGGAAGGCTAACGTATTCCATGTCATTGTCAATTACTAGGGCTCAGCTTGATGCCTGGTAGACTCCTCTCTGCTCATTTTCAACCAAGCATATATGACTGAGTCTTCTCGAAGTTCATAGAAAATGGATACTGTGGGAACTATGCATGGATTTCTAATGTTTTTGGTACCAAAATAAACTGGTACTTTAATTCAGTTTTCCACAGCCCTTTCGAAGTGCCTTGCTAGTCCGCTGTGTGTATTCCAACCACTGAGACATACAGTGGCACACTCGAGGAGCGAGTACAAATCACACCACGGTTTATGGCAGGGAGGCATATTAAAAGTCAAACAAATTGCAGCTGTTACACATTTACTGACCTGAGGTCATCTCTCTAGGCTACTGTTCGGTGAGGACTGGCATGTAGCCATCAGTAGGAGGAAGAAGACGAGGTATTGAGAACAATCATTAATTTCCCATTTACAGTAATATAGAGAACAAATAAATGAAGGACAAGACAAAGCAAAACTACACAGAACGTAGGTCCCAGTGTCCTGCCAGGAAAAAGACAGGGCTGAGGGCAAGGGACTTGTTCAAGGGATGGTAGGTAGGGGAACGGCATTAAAGCAGAGCAATTAGAACTTGGTGTGCTGGGGGCCAGCAGGTGGTGTGGTAGTTAAGGTGCTGGACTCCCACATGGCCAATTATGGTTCAAGTCCCAGACCTGATAGTTTGCATTCTCACTCCACCTACCTCTTGTCAAATTAAATAAATAAATAACAATAAATAAATAATTATTTCTTTTTAAAAAGGACTTGGGGTGTTTAGGTAAGGACTGGAGTCAGCTCTTGTCCACGCATCCTGCTTCTGAGTATACAGAAAGTAGGTTACCCCTACCCAGGACGGCAGCTCAGCTCAGGCTATTACTCCCCTGGGGTGTGGAGATGAGGAACTCTACCTGGAGTGATACCACCTGGTGAGCCAGCTGGTCAAAATAGAGATTCACCGCTCTGGTGAAGCCCTTGTAAGTTGTCCTCAGCTTCATCTTCGGATCCCTGAGTAACCAGCTGAGATTGAAAAGGTGAGACTCAGACTCAACAGGAAAGATGGCAATAAGAAATAACTGAGCGTAGAAGGCTGGACGGCCACGGCAGAGCAGGCATCGCAAGGGTTTTATCCAACTTTAAGAAAAAGCAGTCTGGGGACCAGTCTGTGTCATGGTAGCTACAGTGGCTGGATATCACATGGCCAACTGTATGGTTCAGATCCTAGACCTGGCATGAAAATACACAGAGCAGGGACCAGCAGTTAGCATAATGGCTATGTCACTGGACTCCCATGTAGTCAACCGCGGTTCGAGTCCCGGACCCAGTGGCTTAAACTCACACCAGGCTCGTGTGCATGCGTGCCCAAGATCCCGAGAGGAGAAATGAGGAGAAGGGATTGCAGCGTGACCATCCCCCCGGGGGGTGATTTCTCGCTTTTTGTCTCTCTGTCTGTCTCTGTCTTTCTGGCGAGCACATGCGCCCTATAGCAAAAACCTCTCAAAAAAAAAAAAAAAAAAAAACACGACACACACTTCATGTGCATGGATGCCCAAACTCTGGCAAGGAGGGAGAGACAGAGCAGAAAGGATCGCAGGGTGACCATCTCCCATGGAGGGAGGGGGGTGCTTTCTTGTTTTCTCTCTCTCTCTGTCTCTCTATGGCAAGACACACATCCTCTGGCAAATTAAGAAAAAAATGTGAATAGATTGATGAGGATGAAATGACCTAGAACAAGGCCCATCAAAATGCAGCCCAAGGCCACAGCACATGTGCCACTTTGTAAATAAAGTTTTATTGGCACATGGCTACACCCATAGGTTTACCCACTGTCAGGGCAACTTGCCTGCTACACCAACAGGGCTGAGTGGCTGCCACAGAGACTGTAAGTGGCTCACAAAGCCTGAAATATTTACCCTCTGGGCTTTTATAGGAAAGGTTTGCTAGCCCCTAATCCAGAATGAGATCTTTATAAAACTGAATAGAATTTAAAAAGAAAGAAGAAATCTTTTTTTATTATTTATTTATTTATTTATTTTTTTAACAGAGAGACTTTTGCTGTAGGGTGCATGTACTCATTGGAGAGACAGGCAGAAAGCAAGAAATCACCCGCAGGGTGGATGGCCATGCCACAATTCCTTCTCCTCCATTCTCCTCTCGGGATTTTGGGTGCATACACATGTGCACTTGGCGTGAGTTTCAAGCTGCCAGATCCAGGACTTGAACTGTGGTCGAATATGTGGGAGGCCAGCACTTTAACCACCTTGCCACTATGTCTGGCCATGAAAAAGGAATGGGACACTTACACACGACAACTCTTGAAAACATTATACTAAGTAGAAGAAGCCAGACACAGAACATACACTGTATGATTCCATTCACGTGAAGTATACAGAATGGGGAAATCTTTAGAGACAAAACATAGAATGTGTTTGCCAAAGACTGTAGGGGTCGGAAGGAGAATGGGGAGTGACTGTTGGGTTGGGTTTCCTTTTTGGGTGATGAAAAGGTTCTGCAACTTAGGACCAGCAGTCAGTGTAATAGCTATGTCGCTGGACTCCCATGTAGTCGACTGTGGTTCGCGTCCCAGACCCGGTGGCTTAAAACTCACACTGGGCGCGTGTGCATGCATGCCCAAGATCCCGAAAGGAGAATGGAGGAGAAGGGAT